TACGCCCCAAACCTCCCATTCCCAGCCCCAGACAGAGCCCTCACCCCTACTTTTACCCTGAACTCCTCCCACACTCCAAACCCCTCATCTGCAGCCACAACCCACAGCCCTCACCCCTGCACCCCATCCCTCTGCATCTCTCCCATCCCCAAACTCCCTCCCAGAACCTGCACCCCAATACCCTGCCCCAGCCGAAGGCCTGACCCCAGACCTCCTCCCTCACCCAAACTCCCTCCCAGAGCCTTGGGCAGGGGAGGGGGGTGGGGTTCTGGGCACCACAAAAATTTCTACAAACCTGCCACCCTTGATCCTGCCCTGCAACCTGAACTCCCAGCATTGTCAGGACACAGGCCGATCCCTAGTGGCCACTGCTCATATCCAGCACCTCCCTCCTCTCCTAACCTGCGAGTCCCTCTCGGGATTGGAACTGGACTGGAAGCAAAGGCCATCTTGGAAGCAACATTACCAGCCCAAGCAGTCAAAAATCATGAGTTAGACCCCCCCCAAATCACAGGCTCTACCACTCCCCCTTCATTCATTCTTCGGCGTCAATTCGGCAGCAGGCCCTTCCCTCCGAGAGGGACTGAGGGACCCGCCGCCAAATTGCCGGCCCTGGAGGAGGCCGCAATTTTATATTCTTGCCTTAGGCGCAAAAATAGTTACGGCTCTGCTGTGGAGTGTTACAATAAGTGAACTAGTTTAAAGAGGGAGCATTAGAGGCCTAATAAAGAGCTATGCCACTGAGTGAGCAGCAAGAGGCGTTAAGATCCCAGGAACTAGCCTGAGGAGGGAGTTGGATGGAGACAGCACATTAAACACGAGGGACAAATCTGCCCCCCGCTACACCTGTTCCCCCGGCCTGGCTTCACTGTAACCAAGGGCAGAATTTGATACATGGTGTCATCACCTTTAGCCGATGCACACAGGCCAAACCCTCTGTGCACTATGCGGGTCTGACCCGGCCTTCGTTACACAGGGGTACAGGGTCTGCCTCTCCGCACTGCAAGGCAGCCTCTGTTGTTGTCATTACACATGAATCCGGCAGTAAAATGACGTGTGTATAAGGAAATCCTTCTCCAGACTGACCCCAGAGCTCTCCTCACCCCCACCAGAGAAGTGACACTTTGCTCAGGGTTTGGAACTGAAGGAGTTTGAAGGACACAAACTCCAGCAGGATTCTGGGCTGAACTATGTCTTCATTCCCCCACCCCAAGCTTAGAAATCACAGGACTGTGCATATTTCAGACCCCCCAGGTTGGTGGCTGAGCCCAGTTCCCGTCCCCTCCCCCTACCCCAGGGCGATTCCCTGGCTAGGACAGGGGCCAAACTGTCCGACCCTTCCAGCTGCATGTGACAATCTTCAGAAGTTCAAGAGCCAGGTCGCACCTGCCGGGGCTCAGACCTTCAGCCCCACAGGAGGCGCCTCAGGGCTTGGGGCTTCAGTCCTGCAGCGAGCGGGGTCTTGGGATGCGCCTTGCCTTGAAGTCCCAAACCCCCCTCCCTGCAGGGCAGAAGCCAGGGGTGAGGCGGCACATGGGGGGCACATGCCCCCCTAGACTTGTGCCAGGGTTTGCTGGCCCTGCTCGGTCACATGGTGCCATCGGGCTCCCGCCCTGCAGGGCAGCTGCTGGAGCCGGCAAGCTGGGCGCGGTGCTCTGGGAAGAGGCAGCTGCAAACAGCTGGGAGCTGCAGGGGCAGCCGCTGCCTCTCCCCATGGAGCTAAAGCAGCGGCCCCTCCCCGCAGCTTCCAGCGGTTGGCCGCCAGCTCTCCACTTGCAGCTAACCCCCGGGAGGGGCCCCCAGGGTAAGGCGGCAGGTGTGCCTGGGGGCAGGACTCAGGCTGTTGGGATGGGGGGAACCAAACCTTTAACTTGTCCCGTCCCCCGAGCGAACACCAGTTCTCGCGGGCAGAAGCCCCTGGCCCACCCCACGGCACGGCAGGGAATGGGCGGGGGCTGGGGGGCGTGTCAGCCCGTGTGGGCCCCCCCGGGCTCCGCTCTTCTGCGGGATTCGTGGGCGGGGATCCCGGCCCCCGGGCCGATCCCCGAGCCCAGCCCTTGGCGCGGGGCCGGGGCAGGCGGGGCCCGGCTGAAGCGGATTTCTAAGGCCGCTCCGCCCCCTCTGCCCCGGGAATGTCCCGGCCGGGTCCCCGCGGGGATAAAAGCGGCTGCGGGGCGCTGCGGAGGCTCAGAGCTGAGCCGAGCCCAGATCCTCAGCACCAGCCTCCGCTGCCAGCCCGGACCATGAGCCGCACACGGAGCCTCGCCCCCGGCAGCCCCCTGCTGCTGCTGCT